AGTCTCCTTCCTGGGGCGTAGAGGAGGGGATGACCCCTCACAGTTCTCCTCGAAGGAGCATGAAATTGTATCCCAACAACAGCGCGGTGGCCGCCATCCAGGGCAACGCCTGGCTCCCTTGCTGCCTGCTGGTCTTTTGCATGTTTGCCCGGCCACTCTGGCCACTGGGCTGAGGACAAGCACTGGGCATCCTCCGAGCACTAATGTCATTGTTCCTTCCAGCCAGCACTGCCAACTGCTGAGCTCAGGAAGGCGGGCACTCCCTGCCAGCCAGAGCAAATTAGGTACCCGGATGTTGAGGTCTGTTGGCATTTCCTGTGTTGGCTTTGGCTGATGGGGCTGCCCTCTTGACCTAAGCCGAGCCAAACAGGCACAGCCCAGAGTTTTAAGCCCACTGACTTCTGCCCTGTGTCCACAGGGAATCGTGTCCCAGAAAAAAAAGTCACCTTTCCCTGCCATGGTTCACACTGAGTAGCTATTCCTCTCCCTTGTAGGGTACTACAACAACTCAGGCCTGGCCAGTCCCCAGCTAGTCTGTCCCAGAGCCCCACCCTTCAAGCTCCGGAATGGAAGTGGTGGACTCAGACCTCCAAGACTTTCAGGGCCTGTCCCTCTGCATGCTCAGGGCTAACACCACAAGACTTGGCCGGCAGACTCCCGGGGGTATGTGGAATGACTTCCTAAGGTCCATCCTGAGCTCTTGACACCTGGGCTCTAGCTTGGGACCCATCTGAAGCCCCGACCCCACCAAGTCTGGAGGGGGTGGTTTTACCTGCAGGCCTGAGCATTGCTGGCTGTTTCTTCAATCTATGTTTTCTTTGGCACAGGGTCATTGGGACACAAGATTGTCCAAAATAAGACGACTTCATGATACTTATTTTCCCAAAGAGCAAAATCTGTAACACAATCAGGCCCTTTGTGTGCAGTATGGTCCCAGGCCACCCCCTCTCCAGTTGGGCCTTTCCTACTCCAGCCAGGTCCCTTGGGGCCTGAAGCACTCTTCATTCCCCATCACTGGAGGTCTCTGGGATAGGACTGAGTAGGGAAGGCAGAGCCAAATCCCACCCCAGAGAGCATTAGTAGTCCACACAGCTCTCCCCGCCTCCCTTGCTGGAGATGAGGTGCTGTCACAGCCCCTGGGAAGAGCAGGGCATAGGACAAGCTTAAGAATCAGAGAGATCCGCTAGGAAATCAGCTCTGCTACCCTCCAACCTCTTTCTTCAACAAGGCACCAAGTGGCTGTGGAACTCAGTAGTGTTGTCAGCAAAATGGGTACAATGGAAGCACCTATGATACAGGGTCTGTGTAGTACTCGGTAGAGTAACCTATTTAAAATGGAGCCTTCAGGGTCGAATCAATCCCCAGCACCCACACGGCAGTTCACAGCAGTCTGTAACTCCAGTCTCAGGGGATCTGATGGCCTCTTCTGGCCTCTGAACACCCTGCATGCACAGGATGCACAAACATACATGCATACAAAATGCCCATACATGCAAAATAATAAAATCATTATTATAAAAAGATGGCACTGTACATACAGCTGCCTCCAGATAGGGGTTGGCTGGGCAATCCCTAAGGTGTCTCCAGAATGGTCCTGGACCTTATCTAGGAGGGACCCCATTTCCACCTTACTAGCAGCTCATTTACTCTGAGGTTGGTTCTCTATCCTATCATCTTCATGTGGGCTTCAGGCCGGAGACCAGCTCTTCTGATGCATTCTGCCCTGTGATCATCAAGACTTGGCTCTTCCCCTAGCATGGGTGGCCTGCTCCAGCAGAGCAGGGCCAGGAGGTGCTGGCAGAAGGTGGCTGGGGCTCCTGAAGCTCTGCTGTAGTGGTTCCTACCTTGCTCCTAGGGAATGAAAGCACAGCATGGCACCTCAACTCTTGGGTGCTCGGAGTTTGCTGGGCATGGGTGGAAGGGAGGAAGGGCTGCAGATTCCTGCACTGCAAGTGGGTGCTGTTTTCTGGGAAGTTTGTGTGATATTCTTCAAGACACCAAGAATATTGGTCGCTGAAATGGCCATTTCAGGTAGTACTATTCCTTGAGAAATACTCTGAAATTCCAGAAGTCAGGCAGGGACCCATAGAAGATGCCTAGAAACACGCGTTTCTCAATATCATTTATAGTAACATATGAACACAACAAAGAACACACTTTGTTATGTAACGGCAGACGTTTAGTTCAATATAGTGCTCCAGTTAAAGAGCAAATTCTAAGACCGTGTGTTTGGGAAAACACTCAATGACGTGTCAACACCTGAGTGAGAGAGTCAGGGGTCTATTCATCATGTGTAATCTTTATTGTGTTAAAAATAGATTATGAATGAACAAACAAAATATGACACACCACGGAATATTACTTGACCTTAAAAAGGAAGGAAATTCTGACACATTCTGAAACAAAGATGAACTTTGGAGCTATGCTCAGTGAAGTAAGCCAGACAGATGTGATTTCATGCGTAAAGAATGGGTGCACAGTTGCTGTTGGAGATGACAGAATGTTCTGGAGATAGACGGTGGCGAAGGTTGCACAGTGCATTCATTAGTGTGGTAGTGGTGACCAAAATGCCCGAGAGAGCCACTTAGAGGAAGAAAGACTTAGTTTGGCTTCACTGCTTTGAGGATTACATCTCTGGCGCTTGGCCCCGTACATTTGGGCAGAACATACTGGGGATAGGAGTGTGTGGCAGAGAGAGGAGGAAGAGGGCAGGACGCAGAGGGAGAGGAAAGGACCAGGTAGACCTTCAAAGGTGTGTCACTTCCTCCAACTAGGCCCCACCTCTCAGTTCCCAAAATGTCCCCAAATAGCACCACCACCTGGGAACCAAGTATTCAACACGCAGGGAACATTTAGGACTGAAACCAAAGCACCCGACAACGGGGATGTGCTTGAACACCTGTAAAAATGGTAAACCTTATGTGATGTATATCATGAAACAGTTCCAAAGTGTAGGTTACGCGGGAGTATGTCAAACTGTTCATAAAGAATATCTGTGTACATTGGGTTATGAGTGACATTTCTCTTATTCTTTTTTAGTTTCTAACAATGCCCCCCCCCCCCCAGTAAATGAGATGTTTTGTTTGTTGTTGTTTAAAGGAAATTTGCTCCCAGAGTCTCCCAGATGTGTGGAGGTTGATGGAGCTTCCAGCTGCAGTTGGTAACAGAGACCCACAGTTGTCTTAGCGGAGAGGGTGGCTCTTAGAGACTTCTAGCCTACCCCTGCCCCGCCCCCTTTCTCCAGCACCCTGTCCTGCTGGCCAGCCTCCTCTGCTGGCCCTCAACACCCAGGATCCTCTCTTCCCAGGAAAGCCAGTCACCAGCCCAAAGGCGCTGCCCCTGCTCTAATGGGAATGTGGGTTCGGGGCTTTCTCAGACAGTCGGTACCCAAGACGCCTTCCCATGCTGCTCCACCCCAGCCCAGCTGCAAAAACAACATCCCATACCCAAAGCCCTGTTATTGCAGGGAGAGTGAAGCCTGGTGTGCAGCTCAGGAGAGGAGATGGGGTCTGAACAGAACTAGGGACAGGGGTGTCTTGGGCAGTGGGGGGTTCCCCTCTTGCTGCCCCCTGGGGAAGCCTGACTCTGAGGTGTGTGGGGAAGGGATTTGAGGAAGCCTGTGGGACTTAAGGACAACTTTGCCAGTGGCCTCCCTAACTCCCTGGGGACAAAAGGAGGTGGGAGTGGAGAAGGAAGTCAAGCCACTTGGGAACCCGCTGAGCCAAGCCGTGGGTAGGAGGCGGCACCATGGTGGCTCCTGGGCTGGCCTGGGCAACGCTTTCCCACGGGGTGCAACAGGCCACTGGACTCTTGTGAAGCACACACCCCAGGCAGGTCTTGCGCCCAGAGAGATGTCTCTGCTTCCCATCTTCAAGGGCAGGAGCTGGTAGCCAGGACTTTTCCAGGACCCTTCCATCTCAGCAGCGTGTAGGCATCCCAGTAAGACTAAAGTCGGCTCTCTTCAGCCTTCTTAGCCTCAGCTGGTCTCAGCCACGGGGTCCCTAGTCATGTGACAGGGACAGATACACAGCGGCTTCCAACCCTAGGTCCAGGTAAAACCCTGATGGATGACGAAAGGCTCTTTTACCCTTCTAGTGTGTTCTTCCCGGAAGAACTAAGGAAGTCTCCCGTGAGAGATAAGCCTGGGTTAAAAGTTGTGTATACCCGGTCCCTCACTAGCTGTGAGACCATAATGGCTCTGAGCCTCAGATTCCTCTACTAGGAACAGATGTTAAGCCAGACATGGTGATACACGACTGTCATCCCTGCACTTGAGAGGCAGAGGGAAGAAGACCTCAAGACTGGGCTAGCCTGGGCTACACATCAAGTGAGTTGGGCTCACTCTCTTCCACCTCTCTCCCCATAACTCTCCCAAAGCAGAAGACGTTGAGATGACATTTACCTTGTGATCCCTAGAAGGCTCTGAGGTCATACATGTAGTGTCTGGTACAACACAGGTCTTCACATATGAGTGCCTCAGTGTGACTTTTTTGGGTTTTGTTATATCATTTTTTTAAAAAAATTAACTGACGAAGTAGCAGGTTTCAACATGGCACTTTCCATACTTAGCCTTGGTTGGTCTTCTCCCAATCCCTCCCTTCCCTATTTCTCTGCCCCCATTCCTGCTTATACCCTTCTATCCCAGGGATTCTCTCTTCCACTTTTTAAAAAGAGACTTTGTGTGTGTGCACGGTGTGTGTGTGTGTGTGTGTGTGTGTGTGTGTGTGTCCAGAAGAAGGCCTCAGGAGCTGAACTACAGGCTAACATGCAGCTAGACTTGAATTCCAGTCTCTCCAAAGCAGCAACTGCTGCTCTTAAAGGTCACATCTTCATCCTCCCCTTCTACAGCCACATCCAAAGTTCTGTTGCCCTCCCCACCCCCTCCCTTAAGCTGCCCACCATAGGCCCCTTCCCGTTTCCTGGCCTCTATACACATTCTTGCAGAAGTAAACATACATAACAGTATCGGTATGAGAACACACACACTTTTCTGAGCCCAAATTACCTAACTTTATATTTTCCTACAAATTTTATAATTGCATTTTTATTAACTACATGTGTCGATGGACATCTAGAATGATTGTTTCCTTGTTGTGAGTAGAGAAGCAGTAAACATGGATGTACAAGTATTTAGGATTCAGTGTCCCTACCATGCAAGCCCCAAGAAATGAAATCAGCCCAAATTGTAAAGAACCTTTGGGGCCAGGTGGTGGTGGCACATACCTTTAATCCCAGCACTTGGAAGGCAGGGGCAGGTGGAGCTCAGTGAGTTCAAGGCCAGCCTGGTCTACAGAGAGAGTGAGCTCCAGGACAGCCAGGACTACACAGAGAAACCCTGTCTCTAACCCCCACCAAAAAACAAAACAAAACAAAACAAAAAACTTTTTATCTCAATTCTAGGCTTAGTTATCCCCACTCCCTCATTCTGCTCAATGCAGGGAGCAGCTGGAGAATCCCTCTCCCCTACCCCCATGCTCAGGGCGAGAACCAGTCAGTGAGACTCCACTCTGAAGTCAATGACTGCCTGTTGTTGGGATGTTTCTGGCCACATGCATCATCCCAGGGACGGAAACCATTCCTGGTGGTGGAGATGGTGGTGAGGGTCACAGATGGGAGTGGGCGAGTCTTGGGCCGCTGGGGACAGCCAGCAGTCTATAAGTCAGCCATTGAGTGTCACTTATGGAGAGGGTCAAGAAGCTTAGGAGATTCAGGGCACAGGATCCTGGCAGAGGGCACGGGCAAGCTGCTGTACTGCTGTATTCTTGGGTAGGTGCAGTCATGAGCCCTTGAAAGCAGAAAGGGGGTGTTATTTTTGTCTTGGTTATCTTTGAACTAATTAATGACTGGGTCCTCACTAAACATATTAGAATACAATTTTATAGAGATTTGTAAAAATTCATCTAGGCTATGGAATCTAGACCTACTGATGCTAAACCATCATACAATGTTCAATACTTCTACTACCTATCACAATGTTTCAAAATCCCCAGACTGTCATCTACCAATGTCACTACTACTACCACTATTACTGTATGTCAATCTCTACCAACAATTGAGACCACCCAGTTAGTTGATAAGGGTGAACTTGAGGCTGTCTGTGTGCCTTCTAAACCCAAGCTTTTATTTACATGGTAACTGTTCAATGACACTGCCACCATAGCTGTTGGTTAGTGTACCTTGGTCTTCACTCTTTTTTTTTTTCTCTTCAGAATCACACGTGGCCTTTGTGTTTGTCTACCTAGATGCTTGGTGCATCCTCACATAGCAGAACAGACCTATCATTTGAGATAACTCATCTTAATGGGGCTGCCATAGTTACCAAAGGAAAGAGGAGAGAAAGCAGCATGGTGGATGGCGCTTTTCTGTATTCTGTGTGAAGCCCGGAATGAAGGCACTCAAGAAGCACGTGTCACAGTGAGTGTGTTGAGCTGTGAGGGTGGCTGCTAACATGCAACTGGGAATTGAACAGGGGAAGAATAGATTTTTTTAACCACAAGCCCCGGCTCTGTCACTTGAATTTCTCTCCAAATTCCTATCACTTGACCCTGTTCAAGGGGACAGCGCCAAATTCTACAAAATATAAATCTGCATTTAGAGCAAGAAAAGCATCTAGCTCAGCACAGGCAGTTGAAGAATGGACCCCCTCCTTGACTGAGTATAGTGCTGGAGGACAAAAGGGAAGCTTCGCCCAGACTCCAGCAGCAGATGAAGAAAGTTGGGGGGGGGGGTTCTACCTTCAGGCCTGGCTGGATCTAAAAGCCCAGGGCAGCCTGTTTCAAATCATCATTGCATTCATCACTCTAGCACTTGGCTCTGCAAACCTCTCCTGAAGTAAATGCCAGCTTTTCTTCTGGGCAGTTACCTGACTTTCTACTAAAGCAGAGCAAGCTCTCTCCTTGAGTAGACAATCCAAAGCCAACTTCTTTTCAGGAGATAATGTGAAGGAAAGAAACTCCCTTCTCCCGTGGTCTGCCTGGCAAGTCACAGGGATGACAGAGCAGACCTTCACAGTGTGCCGAGCCTGTGTGAGGGGCCACTGAAGGCACCAGGAGGTGCCAGAGTGACAGTTCCACCCAAGTCACATGGGATCTGGAGGGGCAATTCCCAGCGGAAATGGGGTGCAGGTCAGACAAAAACAACAGGTGTCCACGACAATAGCACTTGTTCTCAGGTTGCGTGGAGACATGACTTATGCAGCAAAACAACCAAGAAGGATAAAAACAGTGATGTAGTCGAATGTCCAAGTGTTGTTGAGTCAAAGTCCTTCAGGAAAAGGAAGTGATCTGTTGCCTAAAAGGGATCTTTAGCTCAGGAGGAGAAATACACAAATGTTTACATCAGCCTCCAGCTGAAAGTTATCATTTCAGTTAATCTCCAAAGTAAATGCAGGAAACACACCTGATAGAGATAACTGTCAAGAATGTCTGATATGGGGACACCTGACGATCAGCTGGAAGATCCTATCAAAATCATCATATTCCCAGTTGAGAGCAGGAGCCTGATGAAGGATTTCTTTTCTTTTTTCTTACAAATAACATCTACTTTTGGTTGTAAGTTGTAACTGCAAGTCGTGAAAACACAGACTAGCAATGACTTGAACAAAATCTACATTTAATTTGTTCTCTGCTACACGAAATCCAAAGACAAACAGTCCTGGCTGGTATGGGAACTCTCCTCCTCAGAGGCCTCAGGGTGCCCATGCTCATCACTCATCACCAGCTCTCTGCCTATACTGCAACTGTATCATCTCAGCTGGCAGAGCGGAAGTGGATCAAGGAGGAGAAAGCAACAATCTTAGCACTATCTTAGGGAAGGTTCCAGAAGCAGCAACACATTGCCTTCCCATTGGCAAGAACACAGCCACATGGCCACATCTACCTGCTACAGACTAGGAAATGCAGTCTTTATACCAGGGGGTCATCTTGTGTAACTAAAATTCTATTAGAAAATGATAAAGAAAAGGGCTTGGGGGCAGCTAAGGGTCTGATAAGCTTGTAATCATACTAGCCAGACCATCACTTAACATCTACATAGATAGACACATCATGCCCATAGTCTTAGTTATGGTTTCTATTGCTGTCATGAAACACCGTGACCAAAGCAAGTTGGGGAGATAAGGGTTTATTTGACTTACATGTCCTCATCATAGTCTACCACTGGAGGAATCCAGGACAGGAACTTAAACTGGGCAGGAACCTGGAGGAAGGAGCTGATGAAGAGGCCAGGGAGGGGTGCTGCATGCATTGGCTTTCTCTTCATGGCTTGCTCAACCTGCTTTCATAGAGAGAGAACCCAGGGATGGCCCCACCCACAATTGGCTAGGCTCTCTCCCATCAATCATTAATTAAGAATGCTCTATAGGCTTTCTTACAGCCTTATCTTACAAAGATATTTTCTCTCTCTCCCTCTCCCTCTCTGTCTTTTGTTTGTTTGTTTCGTTTTGTTTTGTTTTGTTTCCTGAGACAGGTGTCCTGGAATTTCCTCTTTATGTAGACCAGGCTAACCCCAAAGTCAGAGATTCACCTGCCTCTGCCTCCCAAGTGCTGGGATTAAAGGTGTGTGCTACTACTGCCCATCAGGAAATTATTATTTTATTTGTTATTATTATGCATATGTGTATGGTATGGGAGGCAGGTACATGTGTGGAGGTCAGCGGACAACTCTGGACTTACCACCAGGTGGCAAGAAGGCATTTTCTCACTTGAGTTCCCTCCCCTCAGATGACTCTAACCAGTTGTCAAGCTGACATAAAACTAGCCAGCACACCCTTCTATGGACATATATGTAAATACGTTCACTTGTGTGTATAAAATTGAGGCCTTTCCAAATATACTATTTTTTGTAGACTGCTTTTTAAAACAAAATACTGCTGTTCAATCCCCAGGGTCCTCTGAAAAGTTGGCACAGCTCTGTAATCCCAGTCCAAGAGATGTGGAGACAGGAGACTCCTGGGGCTTGCTGGCTAGTCAGTCTACCCAACCTGGCAAACTCCAGTTCATCCAGAGTGACAACACCTAATGTTGACCTCTGGCACAAACATGAACACATACACACCCAAAGATCATGCTAATATAACACCATTTAACAATTATAGGTTGAATTAACAATTTAACAATATATTTAACAATTATAGGTTGGATTATGGGTTGAATTAAAAACAAAACAAAACCAAACCTTCCTACTGCACCAATGAGCTGGCTCAGTAGGTGAAGTACTTACCACACAAGCCTGATGAACTGAGTTCAGGCCCCAGAACCCACAATGAGTGGAGGGAACTAACTCCTGAAAGTTGCCCTCTGACTTCCACACATGCACCATGTCACCCATGAGCACACATATCATACACATATACAATAAACAAATAATCTAAAGGTTGACCAGACCCGAACAGAATACTGTATAGTTTTCATCTATATATATAGACGAAATACATACATATGTATTTCATAAATTCTAATTTAAATTTTTCCTTGGGGAACTAGAGGTACAGCATAGTGAAAGTGTGGGCAGGATTTCTCTGTGGCTTTGGAGGCTGTCCTGGAACTAGCTCTTGTAGACCAGGCTGGTCTCGAACTCACAGAGATCTTCCTACCTCTGCTTCCCAAGTGCTGGGATTAAAGGCATCCGCCGCCGCCGCCGCCGCCGCCGCCACCACCACCACCACCCAGCTGTTTTTTTGTTTTTTGAGACAGGGTTTCTCTGTGTACTTTGGAGCCTGTCCTGGAACTTGCTCTGCAGGCCAGGCTGGTCTCAAACTCACAGAAATACACCTGTCTCTGTCTCCCTAGTTCTGGGATTAAAGGTATGTGTCACCACTGCCTGGTGAGGCTCTGGATGATTTTTAGCATTGCAAAAAAATAAATAAAAACTATTTATTGTAGTGGGTCGGTGGTGGTACATACCTTTAATTCCAGCACTCAGGAGGCAGAGGCAGGCAGATCTCTGAGTTTGAGGCCAGCCTGATCTATAGAGAGAGTTCCAGGACAGCCAGAGCTACACAGAGAAAACCTGTCTCAACCATTCACCCCACCAAAAAAACCTATTTGTTGTCAAATTAATTGTAGATTTTCAGGAGGTCCCTATGGACACACACCCTTTTCTCTTATCCCACTCAGCCTCCTCCGACAGTGACACTTTATATAGCTACAATACATTGTTGAAACAAAGAAACAATGGCACAATTCATAGAGTTTACTCAGACCCTGTGGGTCACACATGAGCTGTGATTACACTATTCAAAAGCACCACAATCAAGAAACCTATACTGGGCAGTGATGGCACACACCTTTAATCCCAGCACTTGGGAGGCAGAGGCAGGCGGATCTCTGCGAGTTCGAGACCAGTTTGGTCTACTGAAAGAGTTCCAGGACAGCCTCCAAAGCCACAGAGAAACCTTGTATTGAAAAACCAAAAAAAGAAAAAGAAAAACAAAAACAAAAAACAAAAGAAAAAAGAAGGAAAATCAAGAAACCTGACAGCACTATTGCAAGACTTCCTGTGTTATTCCTAATTACACCCCCCCACACACACACACACACATACACACAACTCTTGGTAACCACTATCAGTTCTTTATCTCTAGAATTATTTCAAAATAATGACATTCTTGGGAATTTTACGTATGTGAGTCCATGAGTGTGCATAATCATGGGTACATGTGTGTGCAGGCACATGTGAAGGCCTAAAGACAACCTTGGGTGTCGTCCACAGGAAAGCTGTCCACTTCCGTTGAGACACGGTTATAACTGGTCTGGAGCTCACCAGCTACACTAGTTCTGGCAGCCAACCCCAGGGGTCCTGTCTCTTCCTTCTAGGCACCAAGATTACAGGCACACGCTGTAATCACATAGGTCCTGGTATCGAACCCAGGCCCTCCCACTTTCAACTTCAACGACTTCGTCATCTTCCACAAGGTATATATACTTCCTCAGGCTTGCCTGAGCTGTTGCATGTTTCAGTGTCCAGCTTGCCGAGTGTTATTCTACGGCAGAGAAGTGGCACAGTCTACTTTAATATCTGCAACTGTCAGGGAGGTGGATATTTTCGTTTCTCTTCTTTTATTTCCTGACAAAACAGGGTTTCTCTGTGTAGTTTTGTAGACTAGGCTGGTCTCAAACTCACAGAGATCCACCTGCCTCTGACTCCCAAGTGCTGGGATTTAAGGCATGCTCCACCAACACCCTGCTTGGATATTTTCTAGGTTTTGGTTATTATGAATAAAGCTTCATAAACATTCATGTACAAATTCCAATGTGACATTCTTTCTCTAGACTAAAGAGCCAAAACTCAACACTCAAGAGTACATAGGTGCAGCGATGGGCCTGACACTGCATGCCTGTAATTCCAACACATAAAAGAAGGCAGAGGAGAAGGAGTTTCAAGGCCAGCATCAGCTACAGAGTGAGATTGAGGTCAGTGGAATATACATGAGATATCATCTCAAAACAAACCAAAAGAGAGTGCTTAAAAGGAACCTGCATTTAAAACTTTAATGTGTTGTCACAGTTCTTATTAAGTATTTCTTATGCCGTTGCTCTTTGTGTTCCTGTATGGGAAGAGATGTGTTTCTGTGTGAAAGTAGGGGACAACCTTTGGGTATCCATCTTTGAATTTTCACCCCTCCTTTTTTTTGAGACAGGATCTCTTTACCCTTCCATAATGCAGCCTAGCTGGCCTAGCTGGAGATTCCTCTGACTCTACCTCCTGTTCCCTGAAGGTGCTCTGGGATTACACATGCATTGCCACTGCATCAGCTTTCTCAGTGGCTCTGGAGACCCAAACACAGGTGACCAGGCCTCTGTGTCAAGTGCTTTAGCCACGGACTCTCCCTGGCCTCATTATTAAAACACTACATTCCATTGGATGGCTATACAATAAAGTCCTAAACTAACCTCTTATATTTAGGGTTTAAATTATGTATTGGGGTGGGGGCATGCACATGACATGTGGATATCTGTTGATGCAATTTTCTGTCCCACCTGGAGATGGCAACTTTTGGAATCAGCTCTCTCCTTCCACTTTTTTGTGTTCCAGTCACCAGATTCAGGTCATCAGGCTTGTGTAGCAAGTGCCTTTAGCCACTGAACCAACTTGCTGACCAGTTTTGTTTCTTTTTGTGTTACAAATGATAACACAAAGATTATTGTGCATTATTAATTGTGCTATTTCTGGTTATTTATTTGAGACAAATTCCGAGACTGAGGAAATACCATGTTTGGTAACGTGCTTGCCTTGCCAGCATAAGGATCCGTGTTTGGATCTCTAGCACCCATATGAAATCCAGGCACTATGGCTCACCCAGCTAATCCCAATGATGAGGAGGGCGGCAGGCAGTAAGGAGGATCAAGTGACTCCCTGGAGCTCATTGGCCTGCTAGCAACCAAATCAAAGAGCCCCAAGTTCAATGAGAGACTGGGTCTCAAAAATAAGGTGGGGTGTGACTGAGAAAGATACCCATTGTCAGCCTCTGGTTAACACACACACACACACACACACACACACACACACACACACACACACACACTATACACATACACATTCAAAAACACAATACACACACATATACAGGTAAAAGTAGAAAATTGTAAATATGGCCATGAGGATCAGAGGGAAGGAAAGAACATTGAAAACTCCTTTATGTCTTTCAAAACTATCCTATTAAAAGTATATCTAATACTCTCTGAACAACATATGAAAATAGAGGCAAAGTTTCCACATAGTATTGTGACACTTGTGTCAGTGAAGCAGTTCATGTCTTTAACATATAAACATATCCCACAAATCCACTAGAGAAAGACAAATGCCTACTATCAGGAACTTTGGGCTGAAAATGTCAGAAAACTCCATTCAGAATCAGACAGAGCCTGGACTCATGGTATATGTCTTTAATCCCATGTTATAGCATGGTGAGTCCCTGGAACAGATGTGTAGCTGTGTCTCAGTTAAAGAACATGGTTGCTCTTTCAGAGGACTGGGGTTTGATTCCCAGCAACCATATGGCAGCTCACAACCATCAAGGCTATCAGTCCCCCATAGTCCGCCCCCCCTTTTTAAAAAGATTTTATTTATTTATTATGTATACAACATTCTACTTCCATGTATATCTGCACACCAGAAGAGGGTACCAGATCTCATAACGGATGGTTGTGAGCCACCATGTGGTTGTTGGGAATTGAACTCAGGACCTCTGGAAGAGCAGTCGGTGCTCTTAACCTCTGAGCCATCTCTCCAGCTCACATAGTCCCCTTCTTTTTTCTTTTTTTTTTTTCCCCGAGACAGGGTTTCTCTGTGCAGCTTTGGAGCCTATCCTGGCACTCTCTCCGGAGACCAGGCTGGCCTCCAACTCACAGAGATCCGCCTGCCTCTGCCTCCGGAGTGCTGGGATTAAAGGCGTGCGCCACCAATGCCCGGCTTAAAAACGAACTTTTGAGGGACACACTCCAACCATATGCAAACTAGCATGATGGGCACAAATGAAGGGTGATAATTGTGGAAAAACACAAGTATCGCTGGCAAGCAGGAAAATGAAAATGAAAATGATTCTGAAGTATCTTTTTTATGTCTACTTTCTACAGAGATGTTTGGTAATGCCATGTGTTGATAAACATGTTAAACAGCGCTAACAATAACACACACTCATTTGACCAGTGTGAAGACTTGATCTACTTGGGAAGGTGAATATTCATATAGTTTGTGATGTTGTAATTAAAGTAATGTGAAAATATGCACAAGATTATTTAGAGTTTGAATTTATTTATCCCCTTCTCAAAGGCTGGAAACAACCAAAATGTCTCAAGAAAAATGAGTACCTAAATTTTTGTATAACACACTGTATAATACTACGTAGCAGTGCAAAAAACGGTGAATTTTAGTAATATTATACTGGATGAAAAAGGCAAGTTGTAAAAAATTACATTATGCTTTTACACATCCTAATATAAGTTTTTGAGCTTGTTTTCATACACATTAAAAACAAGCAAATTAAATAGCGTGCTATTTAGAGATTACAAGTACTTAATTCTTTTTAATGTATTGCTGCATTGTATTTACTAATTAAATTGTTACGGATTTTCTTGGCTAATGACAGGTATTTTTTTTTTTTTTGGTCCTATCTTTGCATGATTTTGATACTGACACAATCTCTATGGAAAAGTTTTGTCAGCCTTAAAAGCCTGGAAGATTCATTTACCTTTGAGAAGTTTATCTTGAGAGATTCTAGTGACAAACTGCGTTCAGACCACCCCGGATTTTAAGCACAGCCTCGTTTCCCTCCCTAACTGCTTAAATATTCTCAATCTGTAGAACCGAGGGTAAGAGAACCCACCTCACTGAGCTGTGTAAAAAGAAAGACAACTTACACACAGCACTGGATACCTAGTAAGCTTTTTAGTTGTCCTACTTATTGGCTTCTCCTTTCAATCTCTGATTAGTGACTGCTTCTTTCCGAGGAGGATATACAAAGGCAAACAACGAAAGGGCTAGGAATGGTGGGGCGCTCGCCTAATACCTGTTCATTTCCTAGATTCAATTCCTCGCACCGAGGGGGTAAAGAAAGATAATGTCGGTGGGGGAATGGAACCCGTCTGAAAGACGCACTCAATCAACCTCACACGTTGTAACAGCACTCTTCTGGGCGCGCTCACGGCGTCCACCAGGCAACAGGAGGTACCCACGACGCTCGGCTAGGAAAGAGGAAGGCGACGCTCGCTATTCCCATAGCAACCGGACTGCCCTGCGTCCGGAGGGCTACCCGGCTCGGCGCGCAGACGCCCGAGAGGCCGCTTCCAGCCGCCACTTCCCGGAGGCTCGCCCAGCTCCGCCGTACCTCGTTTCTGATTGGCCCCAGCAGAGGGAGGGGCGGGCTTACAGCGTCTCAAACTCCAGCGTGCCTCACTGAGCGGAAGTTGACCTCTCTCGCCCCCGGAAGTGAAACTCTGTAGTTTGGCAGTCGAGGTCCTGGCGAGTTGTGGGGGCCGCTTTGGTGAAGATGCCGGGTGCCGCGGAGAAAGACTC